TATGTTGCATACGACTGATATTTATTTGTTAAGGTTCTTTAGAGACTTTTATCTTTATCATTTTTTAAGATCCCTTTGTACTACTCTTTGCTTATGTACTTTTGGATTCTTTTTGTTAATTGGGTCCCTTGCTAAATCCTTTGTTGTGATAATGAATTTTTTGCTGTGATTAATGAAATTCTTTGCTATTTTGTTTTGCTTTGTTTTGTTGAACGGTTTTATGCAGGAGTTGTCACCAGGTTTTTTCCTTTCTTTCTTCTTCAGGTTTAAATGTAGACAATGAAGATTCATATTTTCTCCAACTATCTACATAACAATAATTGTAAGATACTCTCTGTTTTACAAGTTTGACATTAAATTTTTGCCTAGTGCATCATTGAAGCCATGTTTCCTCTAACTCACTGCAAAACATATGTGGATGTGGCTATGTAGTTGTGAATGGTGTAACTAGTCATTGCTTTATTTATAGGTTAAATGGTGAAAGTTTTAGCTGAGTTTGATTATTGTTTTGATAGTGGATCACTTTTTTACAGGTTAAACAGTGGAGATGGCTTTTTTGTTCAAGCATTTTGTCAAGGTGGAAGGATTTACTTCACCATTGCACTAGTTAGACGTTTTGGAGAGGATTTCTCAGTTTTCTTTACTTGTTTTGAATGTTAAGGTCTTGGACATTGTATGAATTATGTTGTAGACGTAATTTTATTGCCAGTTTGGTAGATATTAATAACAATTGATATGTTGAATGTTTTTATGTTTTAATTTGAATGTTCCTATTTAGATATAAGATATTGCTCGGAATCACCATCTATTTGAATGAATTCAAAATGATATCAATAATAATTTTAAAAAGCTACAAGAGTATGAACATGATAAGGAAAAAAAGTTATTAATTTGTATCGTAGCTATGCTAAATAGCTGTAAGAGGTTGAAAATAACTTGTCTTAAACGCTATCATACCTCAATTCTATAGCGCTTTCCATAACTCTTAGAATGCTATGTTTTCTTAGGATTTTTAATAGCGTTCGATGTCCTAGTGCTCCATAAAACGCTATTGCTAGTGATTAATAGCGTTTTTTATTAGCTACTGATACTGATATTTGTTGTAGTGTATGTTAGATTTCGGGTTCCTATGTTCTTATGTGATTGGGTTGAAAGTAATAATTGTGATCAAGATGAATTCCTTTTAGTTGGCCTTAATAGATTAGGTCACAAGGATGACCCATTTATTGTGGCAACACTAGCTAAACAAGTGTTCTACAGGAAAGATCTAAAGGCTCCAAAAAAAGTGATCAATTGTTCCTGCATCACAACCAAAAAACTATCATGGCAAAACCTCGAGATGATGATGATGATGGAATGTTGGTTGAGCATGAAACATTTACACGAGTAATGCCTAATTTAGATATAGACAATAACTTAGAGGAGAATGATGGTATTTATACTAGAGAAGATGGTGCGGATATGTGGACTGATAAAAGAGAATTTTAATCACTGATCAATAATTATTTTTTAGGAATTATATATTTTTTTAGAGTAAGAATTACATTATTTTTTTAGGATAATTTTTTTCAATTGATAATTATTTCTTACTCAATAATTATTTTTTAAAAATTATATTTTATTGAATATTGTATTTTATTGAACATTATATTTATTTTGCTCACAGTATTTACATTTTATTTTTCTCAAAAGCACTATTTACGTATTTGATACATCCCATTCTAAAAAAAAAAAAATGAGGTTACATTTTTTGGAAGAGAAAAAAGAGGTTACTTTCAAAAAAAATTAATAAAAAAAGAGAGAATAAAAATAGTCGAATAAATTAAATATAATACGAAATACACGAGTGGCCCCTCATTTCTCTCTCACAATTCGCTCCAAAATAATAAAAAATTTAAACACAATGTCAAATACACAAATGACCCCTAATTTCTCTCTCATAATTCGCTCTCTTTCTATCTCTCCGCCTTTCTCCCTCTATCTCCCTTCCTTGGCACCGTCACTATAATGATTGAGAAAATTCTAGACTTTAAATAATATAATTTATTTATTTAAGCTAAGGATTTTTCTAGAAAATATTATGTTATACTGTGAATGAAGGATTTATGGAATTAATATCTGTATTCCTAAATTCTGTAGTAGATTTCATGTTAAGTTTATGTTTTCGATCGAGTAAATTCGATCGATAAATTATCGCCGTACTTTAAGGCAGAATAATTTTCAGTACAAGTATAGTTTGAGAATCTTAATTTCAAGAATCTCCAAGCACAGCACAATGTTAGCAGCGTATAAAAAAAACGCACTGACATTTTAAAAGAGAAAATCCTTAATTGTCAGACAGCTAGGTTAAAGTCACAAGATAAATACCCATAGTAGTAGGGTACAATGTGAGCTCGGGAGTTGACACCGTCAGAAACAACGCCATTCCCGGGATTTAATGTAGAAAAGTTAAATTTAGAATTTGTTCAGTCTAGAAATAATTTCAAGACTTGAAACAATTCAAGATATTACACGAGTGAGAATTTAATGTGATCTCAAAGCAGTCGAGGATTTAACAGTTGAACTGTAAATTAGCTGTAGAAAAGGAACCGTTAGAAATGGAAATGAATTCCTGTCGGTTAAGTTACTTCCTTATAGTCAGTATAATTTTTATCAGTTTCAAAGGGAAATTGAAGAAAGTGGACAAAAGTACAATGGGGTAGGTGAGATTTTTCTCAATAGTAAATTTATAAAATTAAATTAAGTAAATAATAGATTTTAAAATTATTTGAAGTGAATAACAGTTTACCATATAAAATTTTCATTTATGACTTGTGAAAAATAATTTACGTGATTAAAAAGATTTTAAAATTATTTGAAGTAAGTGATAGTTTACCATATAAATTTTCATTTACGACTTGTGAAAAATAATTTACATAATAAAAAATATTTATTTACGTAGAAGAAATTCTTTTTATTAGTCTTGAAAATAAAATTTACGTTGAAAGAAAAATTTACGACTCGTTGAAATATAGTTACACAGTAAAATGCTATTTGAGAGCAAGGCTTGGCCTTATAAACTTTAATAAGGGACCGCTCGAAAGATGGGTCAAATCAAGTGGTTTAAAACCTAATTTAAATTTTATGAGAAAAAAATACTATAATAAAACTTACAAACCCTAAATTTAAATATGGCTGCAAGAGAAAAATACATAATTCACCATAATTTTATGCAAACAAATATTTATATCATTTCAAATAATTAGATACCATTCTATTCATATTTTTTAAATGCAAATTGTGAAAATTGAAAAGTCCTCTCTTCGTTTCTCTCTCTACCTCTTCGTCTTCTCTCTCTCACTCGCTCCGATGGAATCTGACAGCTTCAAACCTCGGGCCACACTACTACAATTTGGGCTATTTGTGACGACAATTGTTGTCGCAAATAAATGAATATTTGCGGCGACATGTTGTTGTAAAAATTTTTGTAAAACTGAAAAATATTTTCGTCGCTAAAAAACTCACACGCCGTCGCAAATATCTGCTTGGCGGCATATCTTGTGTGGCATGAACTTTTAGGGCCAAAATAACATTATTTGCGACGACATGTCGTCCCAAATGATTAAGTATTTGTGATGACACATGTTGTCGTAAATAAAATAAAATATATTTATTTTTCCCCGAGCAAAAAGAATTATTTTGGCGGGGGACAATTTTTTTGCGACGACATTAATGTGTGTCATCGCAATAAGTGATTTTGTATTCTCTCAGTAAAATAAAAGGTGGGAAAATTGGACGGGTCCCCAAAAATTATTTGCGACGACATTGTAGGTGTCGTCACAAATAAGAATTTTAGAACCTTCCTTCCACAACATGTGTCATCGCAAATAATGTAAGTGTCATCACAAATAATTTTAAGTTATATTTGTGACCACTAGTCGTCGCAAATATTCTTTCCTATCGTCGCAAAAAACTCTGTTATATGCCCACGAGCATAGCCTCCTCCCCCATTTTTTTTGATCGACTTCTCTCTCTCTCTCTCTCTCTCTCTCTCTCTCTCTCTCTCTCGGCCTCTCACTGGTTTTCTCCGGTTTTCTAACCCCAAACTCTAAAAATCTCCTTGTATTCTCTTCAAAATTAACAATATTACAAGTTTTATTTATTTTTTCATTGAAAAAGTCCCAAAACTCACCGTCAAAGTCGGCTACTGTCGAAGTCCACCGCCGCCCTTTGTCCCTGTTTATCTTGTTGTTTTCAGCCCCCGTTTCAGTGGGTTTGAATTTTGTAAGTTTTTGTATAATTATTGTATTTTTTAGTTTAAACTGTATGAGTTTTTTGTTATTTGAATTGTGTATTATTATGGATTATAAATCTTGAAGTTTGATTTATAGATTTTAGAATTAGTATATAATTTGGATTATAGATTGAATTTTAGATTATGAATTTTGAGATTGTTGAAATTTGATATTGAGATTGTTGAAATTTTAAGATTATAAATTGATTTAGGATGAAATTAAAAGTTTTGATAATTGTTCTGGGTGGCACATCTTGCAGTTATGGTGTGTCGAAATCTTTTAAAAGCTATTTTTTTGCATATTTGAATTTTTGGATAATAAGAAAAATATGTCGTTATGATGCCAAAATTTTATTAAAACCTATTAATTTTAAGAATTTAATTAATAAGAATTAATTATATTAATAGAAAGAAAATTAAAAATTAATTATAAATATTGTGAGTACAACAATAAAAAAATAACTTGTTCATAAAATTTGATAAAACTTATAAAATTGAAACATGGAATGTTAAACTTTATTTATGAATGTGATTGTATAGTCATAAGAAAACATGAAATATGATTAGATGTCTTATTGTTTTTATAGTCAAGATGTCAATTGACAAGAGTTGGATACATCTGAAAAATCGGTTGTCTGATCAGTATTGGAAAGGGTTGTCTGCGTTTATCAACATTGCCAAAGGCTATGTTGATGAAAGCAGTTGTACAAGTTATCCGTATCGGAGGTGTTTAAACCATAAGTGTTTTCCAATAGATTCAGTTAGAGCACACACACACCAATATGGCTTTAATACTTTATATTCGACATGGTATTACCATGGCAAAGACGATATTGCAACCAATCCAATAAATGAATCAGTTGACGAGATGGTTACAGTTATACATGTGATGACGGGTATTTCTACCCACAAATCAAGTACTTTTAAGCTTGAATATTTGTAAGTTTTCAAGCATTTTTGTTAGTTTAATGTCTTTTGTGTGTTTTTTATAGGAGTTATAAATAAATACGAACTTGGATGATTTTGTATGAAGCAAAGATGAATATTTGCCCAACTTGTAAATCAATGGCAAGAGGAGGTGAAAGAGGATTTTAAGGCACAAAAGAGGAGGCTTGGAATGCAAAAAAGTGGGCTGCAG